TTTACAAAGAATCTTTAAATACATAACATCAGAGTCTATCTGATATTCATTCCATGAGTAAACTTTTTATTGTTTAAAATAGTTTCTAGAAAAATTGTCTAGCAATACAGTAAAGCAAATTTCCTAGCTGCAGAACTATCAATTACTTCAATAGAATCTTTACATTTCATGTCAGCAGAAAACGTTAGCCAGATAAATTAGCTCCAGCCATGTTGGTGGAAGAGAAAAGAACGTTCCTTTAGACGATTAAAAGAGAGAAGGTTTGGTTTGGAGGCGTTTATATTAACAAGTCATTTCTTTTAAGGTGTGGAGTGAACCTGGAATACGATAGACGATCAGTGCATCCTGTCTCATTGAAAGAACGATACGTTCATCTTGACTTTAGAAAACTTATCTGTAATGATGAGACGTTTGTTTGTGTTTGTTTTAGATCGTTTTGGCTATTGTAACTAAAAACCGGAAGTACGTCCGGATTTATCCAGCTGTCAAGAGGACTATTCGGCATTTAACATCTCTCATTTGATTTTCCTATTCAAAAATTCTCCCGCACTGGATTCGCCTTATTTTCAGAAGCAAGAAAATAAGGCGAATTTTTTCATTGAAATCGCTCATCAAAATAAAGAAATTGGTATTCTCTTCGCTTATAAGTCTACTATAGTACTTTATTTACGCTATTATTCACCCAATAAAAACACTAAGAGACATTCAGAGTAGTGATTTATTTAATAAGTTTGTTTTATGGACGTATAAGAAGTGAGTAAAAATTGTAGAATATGTAAAACTTGAGCCTCGATTTGAACAGGTTATATTGTCCTGATCAGGGAAGCATTCTTTTTCGGATTCTTTTCCACAAAACAGTGACACGTAAGAAGAAGCTATCTGTATGGTACTTCTTTCTTACAAATGGAATACAAAAGGAATGAGAATGATGTGTACATGGTACATGCACATGTCAGTATCAGGTGTGGTGGAACTAAGGAATGTAGCTAGTCAGAACTTTTTCTGTGGGAATAGCAATGGAATAATGAGACGATTGTGACGTTTCTAGAGTTGTCGGGTGGAAAATAATTCATCGCCCACAAGGTGCTTCTAAACTCTGTCAAGGTTGAAAAGAGTGGATCGGACTGCTCCAGTGCAGACATCGCAGTTATCATCAATTTTTGGTCTGATCAGACTCTTTTATAATGGTACATATTGAAAAATATGGAAAATAATTAATCGCCTACAAGGCCGCGTAGTCGCATTGGAACATTATCGATGCTGATAAGATATGATTGTTCAGCCTATATATGGCAGCAGTACCTCATTTTTGGTCTGATTTCATTCTTGAATATAACAGGTTGAGTCGGGTACTTTCTGAAGCGATACAAGGCGCCAACCATTTTTCCAACATTTTTACCGATGGATCAGGAGACGTTCAATGGAAGGAGCCTCCCGGAGAGTACAAACATTTATCTTGTCTAGTGAGAAAAAAGAATTTACTCGGTGATTATGAAATTTTACTAACTTTTTTTTGTTGTTGTTTTAGCTTTTCGAGGTTGATGCATTTTTTTTTTTTTTTTTTTTTTTTTTTTGTAGAGGTACATAAAATTTTAAGCTTTTCGAGTTTGGTGCATATTCTTTTTTGTACGGGTATATAGTATTTTAAATTTTCGAAGTTGGTGCATATTCTTTTTTGTACGGGTATATAGTATTTTAAATTTTCGAGGTTGGTGCATATTCTTTTTTGTACGGGTATATAGTATTTTAAATTTTCGAGGTTGGTGCATATTATTTTCTTTAGAGGTAGATAATATTATAAGCTTTTCGAGGTCGGTGCATATTCTCCTTTAAAATGCATTCTCTGTATAACCTGATTACTTTCCAAAATATCTGATATTTTGATGAAACTCTATACAATTAGTGACATTAGTCCTTATTGACTAAAACTCATATACCATTATACTTGTTCTTTGGCTTTTCCTTAGAGAAAACACCTTTTCCTTTATTGGTAAACGTCTACTTCAAGTAGGCGTTATCTAACCTTTATGTTATCAGATAGTCTCTGCTTTCCTGTGAGTTTCAGTAAGTACTATTTGCCCGTTCCATAATTAGTTGAACTAATTTGTTGTCTTCAGCTCTGCTTTCAACAATATCTGTGCATATATTTGCATTTTCTATTTGGTATAACGCCCAATTCTTAGACACACTCACAATCGAATACATTTTGAAGTATTAATTTTTCTATGCGAGGATCGAACAGAAATGTCACGAAATATATTTTTGATGTATTGAGTGTGTGTGTGTTATTTTCCAAGTGTAGCTCAGATGTGGCACAAGGCCGAAATTATGGGGTACCCAGTGAGGATCGAACTCACTTCAGTTGAAACTGATCTAGCGAGACAAGCTTGCTAACCATTACACCACGCCAAGGTGCCCTGTGTGTGTGTGCCGAGTGTGTGTGTGTGTGTGTGTGTGTGTGTGTGTGTGCGCGTGTGTGTGTGTGAACTGATCTGTTGTAACTCAAGTTGATGTATTCATTACAAATATCGGCGATGCTTTAAAATAGGTTGTGTGACCAGAAAGAAACATTTGGCTGACCATATATTACTATAAATGAAGCACTCCATATCACAGCTATTAACTTTTTCTAATTAAACTTTATAAAATTTAACGGGGGGGAGGCAGTTTGTAAATTGACGCCCCCCCCTACGAAAATCAAAATTAAATATAGAGGTTCTTTCTCCTCATTACCACGACTTGCTCTACCATTAAATTACTTTATAAGGTTGATCTGAACACTTAAAATAAAATTCTAATTTTGTTAATGTTTAAATCAAAAGCCAGTTCTAAGTTTATATTGTGTGTTTCCCTTTCGTTGAAGAGAAAACACAGAAGCTCACACAAAATTTGATATCGTCGCTCTTCACAGAGGAGATAAAATTCTCTTTTCATACGTAAGAAATATTGGTAAAAAAAAGTATCCGATTAAAACCTAATAATTAGACGGGTATATAATGTAAAATATAAAGATAAATATAAATAAAAAGGTCACTTGAAAAAATACAAAATGTTTTTTCGAATACAGAATACAATAAAAAGAAAAAAATGATATAGTTAACTTCCAGGCCTATTTTTTTCGAGGTGGGGTTATTACGATCGATTTACTTTGTTTGAATCAATGAGTTTGAACCAATAGCAGCAATGCCGCCATATTTATTACGACGTTTCGGCCATTGTATACTCCGGCCTTCTTCAGGTGGCTGGAATGTTGAACTGAACCCTCTATTTCGCTCACTTTGGTAGACTCTTCTAGTTCCACATGTTTTAATGGATGTCAGTTATCAGTTATCTCCTGTTAATACCGCTATCCAAGTTCTCAAGGACTCATGGCACAGTGGATAAAGGCGCTAGATCCAGTGACAGAACCCAAAGAGTGGGTGTTCAATACCTGGTTAAGGCAGTGGAGAACTTTCAGAGGGAAATTAACAGGAAATATCTGATAACTGACATTCATTAAACATTTCACGTGGAACTGGAAGAGTCTACCCCAATGAGCGAAATAAAGGGTTCAGTTCGACATTCCAACCACCTGAAGAAGGACGGAGCGTACAAAGGCCGAAACATTGTAATAAATATGGAGACAAAGGTGAGGAAAATAGTCCGAATAATGTAAATAATGTACATAATACCTCATCTCAGACATATGTTTCGACAGTCTTTCTTTTATGTGGCGTCTCCTTTCTGGATGTCGGCAATCACGGATCTCCACAACTTCCAATTTCTTCTAGCTTTTACTGATGTTTGTGCTTTTACTATTCTTTCCACACCCCGTTCTACCATCGATTCACATAAGATTTTCACGTGGCCCGCTACCTAACCGTATCCCTTTTGCTTCCGATATATCCTGTGTGAGTTAAATTTGCCAAACCCTACTTCCTCATTATGTTTTCAGACTATTTTTCTGAATCAAAGTGCCCGAGATTTGTTTTCATCACTTCTTGTTATACACAAATACAAACTGTGTAAAGAGAGTGCTAATCTAACAATTCTAAAAAAAATAAACCCAAAACCAGGACCTTACATAATATCACCGATCATCGCAAAATAGTAACACAGTGAGCTGAGTTGATAAAGAAGAAAACAAATATCTACTCGAGGTGGGCTGATATAAAATCCAGCAGACACCTACGAATCTAATATATATCATGGGACATGAAGGCGTCCCAAGGCAGTGTAATGGTTAGCAAGATCGTCTCGCTAGATCAATTACGACTGAGTAGTGAGTTCGATCTTCACTGGATGCCCCATTCTTTCGGCCTTGTACCACATCTAAGCTACGCTTGGAAAATCACTATATCATGGGACATGAGGACGATTATAATGGATTTCCTGATGTTGTCAACCTCGGGAGATAACCCCGCGGGTTGCATCGTCAGGAAATGTCCGAAGATCAATACACCTCGAGTTTGACCCTAAGCCCTTTGACGGAAACTGTTTAAAAACGAAGTCCCAAGTCCGAAACTTTGAGTGTACTTACCTTGTCCAAATGGGGATCACCTACAGATTCACTAAGGTTTCCTCAACATGGCTGCAGTATGAACCAAAGGTTGGCTCCGTGGGTATTGGTAATGTCTGTAAACATGGATTATTTAACGACCTTACCTGACAATTACGGCAGGCATTATAAGATCTTTTGTCAAGCAGTGTAATTTCCTTGTATAGAATGAGTTGAAACTGATCAAAATGTAGAAATGTTATAATCATCAATACCAAAAAATATTTGCAAAATATTTGCAAAATATTTGCTATTCTTTTTTTTTTTATATATTTTTTCAGTTATCTTGCGGAGTCAATAATAAAATATATATATATATATATATATATATATATATATATATATATATATATATATATATATATATATCTATTATTAATGTTCTTGTTATTTCTTGTCGGTTTATTGAATTATTTTCCTCGTCTCGTCTTTTAACTTGGATTTTTCGGAATGTGGGGGGGGGATGTATTTGTCATCTATTTGTCTTTTTTCCTTTTTCTTGTTGTATCCCGATTTCTACTTCTGTCTTTTCGCCGTTGCAATCCTATAAAGGTGGAGGTGCAGTTGATGCAACAGATAACAGCTTCGAATGAAACATCGGAGAGCAGAATTCCAATTCTAATCGACTACATTCACTTGGGAAAGGCGTGAATTCATCTCTTCTCTCCCCAGCTATGGGTTAAATAGTTAATAAATAGTTATTCCCCAAAATATTTTTAACGCAGTCTCCAAAAATATTACAATTCGAAATATATTTCAGCTTTAGGAATTTTTTCTCCCGGAATCGATATTTCAAATATACAAATCAACCATTCGCCCTTGCATGGAGTATTACTACCATATAGGGTCTGGGGCACCTTCTGCTTACCTCGGAGTTCTTGACAAGATCCAGAGACGGATATGTAATATAATTGGCCCTGATCTGGCATCTCGTCTAGTCACTCTCTCACAGACGCGCCATCGCCTCTCCCTGTCTTTTTTACAAATACTTCCATGGTAATTGCTCCGATGAGCTGCTTTCACTGGTTCCCAGACTCCATGAATTCAAGCGCCCTACGAGGCTAGCATCCAGCTTTAACCCTTTCACTGTAGAAACTTTTAAATGTAGTCGTCTCTTCTACTCCAATAGCTTCATACCTCACACCTCTCGCCAGTGGAACACCCTTCCCTATTATTGTTTCCCTGAGAGCTATAATCTCCAACTATTCAAATTTAATGTCAAGTTACCTTGATCTATCCACTATCCTTCTCCTCATCCTTTCTTCTATCACGCCTCTCTGCTCTTGCTCCAAATCTTCTGCAAATCTCTGCATCCTAGTGGCTTCCCGGCTTGCTCGGGGCGTAATGCTTTAAAAAAAAATAAAATAAAATAACTCATAAAATGTTAATAAGCCGTAAAAATCAGCCAATCCTGAAATCGCTCTCTCTTCTTTATTTTGAATTATCTTTCTTTTAATCCCTTTGCTTCCGATATGTCCTGTGTGAGTTAGATTTGCCAAACCCTACTTCCTCTTTATGTTTTCAGATTGTATCTTTCTAAGTGCCCGAGATTTCTTTTCATCACTTCATGTTACACACAAACACAAAATGTGTAAAGTGGGCAATAACCTAACAATTATAAAAAAAATAATCCCAGCACTAGAACCTTACATAATATAATTGCGGCATTTTCTCTCTCTCTCTCTCTCTCTCTCTCTCTCTCTCTCTCTCTCTCTCTCTCAGTATTTTATTCATTCTTATTGTTTGTCTATCTAACGCAGCGTGTTCCTATCTATCTATCTATCTATCTATCTATCTATCTATCTATCTATCTATCTATCTATCTCTGTTTCTCTATCGCAGTCTGTGTCTATCTATCTATCTATCTATCTATCTATCTATCTATCTATCTATCTATCATTCTGTCTAGATATCAATTTTTCTGTCTATCTATCTATCTATCTATCTATCTATCTATCTGTCTGTCTAGATATCAATTTTTCTGTCTATTTATCTATCAATCTATCTATCTGTCGGTCTATTTATCTATATTTCCATTCTTTTCTTTATGGATCTATCTATCCCAGTCTGCCCATCTCTCTCTCTCTCTCTCTCTCTCTCTCTCTTCTATCTATCTATCTATCTATCTATATATATATATATATATATATATATATATATCATTCTGCCTAGCTATCAATCTTTCTCTCTATTTATCTATCGATCTGTCTATCTATCGGTCTATTGATCTATATATCCATTCTTTTCTTTATGGATCATCTTTCATTCTTACGCCGTCTATTTTTATCTTCGCTATTATCACTTTTCTTATTAATTTTCTTCTTTTATCAACTCTATCCTGCTTTATCTATCTATCTATCTATCTATCTATCTATCTATCTATCTATCTATTTATTCCAGTCTGTTCCTATCTATCTATCTATCTATCTATCTATCTATCTATCTATCTATCTATCTATCTATCTACCCCAGTCTGTTCCTATGTATCTCATCACCAGCTATTTGAAGATCAAAGTTGACAAGGAAGAGAGTTCCACAAGCGAGAACTGGGAAAGAAGCTGTTATCATAGAAATTACAGTTACTATCTATCTATCTATCTATCTATCTATCTACACTAATTGTGTTATGTGTGTTTCTTATTCAACACTAATTTTTAGTTATTTCTCTTATTACTCTTTCAATCTTTTCAAATGTCTTTCCAGGATTTATCGGTGACAATCTTAACAATATTAGATACGCACATGACACACACTGTTGATAGCAGAAAGGAAACTACAGAAGGTCATAAAAGAAGGCGCGAAAAAAAGGATCAAACATTAATTGTAAGAAAACATTGATATGATTGTCAGTAAAAGGGACTGGCCAAGATGCGAACAACGAATTGGAAACATCAGGATCAAGTAAGTACAAAAAGATTCATCTATCTGCGAAGAAACAAAGAAAAGATTAATGAAGTGTTATGCAATATCAGTCCCCTTCCTATATGGCAGTGAATGGAGGACAATCTCTTCACAGAAGAAGAAGAGACTCGAGGCAACAGATTAGTGATTCTATAGAAGGATGCTGAGAATATCATGGAATACCTTAGAAAAAAATTTAAAAAAGAAGCTTATACTTATGTTAAATAATATTTTAGTAGATTATTATTTTTAGAGAGAAGTGTATCTCAGCTCAGACTTCCGGGAGTTGACCTTCTGGGTCAGATATAAGACATAATAAGGAAGTCGATTTTGATTGACTGAGCTAGCGTGGGAATGATAGAGAAAAACTTTTTTGGTGAGTTCTTTCTTAACCGTCAAGCGATGTAGACGTCTGTTCTTTCGTGACTGAAACGGCTTTCTAGTGAGAGGGAATGACCCCCACTGGATACTTAGTACATTTTGACATTAATAAAATAGTTAAGTTAAATTTCTTTGTGTTGGAGTTCTTTCATCTGTGGATACAAGTCATTTAGCGACACCCGGCCGGGCGAAAATTGAGGGAGAGAGGGGAGAATAATATGTTATCGAATTGGTGTCATTGACCAGGACCTCCCGACACGATAAGAAACATTTAGAATCAAAAAGAATCAATTGAATTTTGGGGGGGTTCATAATGAATTAAGAGTGCTTGGAAAATTTAACACTCACTGGATATGCTGAACAGAAGAAAGAGATGGGTAAGAGGTGAATAATTTACCTAATGAGCTTGTATAAATATTGGTACAACAGAGATCAGAAGTCAACAAGATAAACACTTAAAAACATAATCTTGTAGTCAAGAGCTACAAAGGAAGCTGTGGAGGAACATGATCGTCCGCGTTCTGAAGGGACACGACACATAGAAGAAGACTCTACAACACTAATATTTGGGTATGTCTATATTTCTGAGATGAGGTATTATGTACAGCATTTACATTAGTCGGACTATGGCGACAAAGATGATGACAATAGTCCGACGAATGAAAATACTGTAATATTCGGGTACCATAAATATTATCGGAGTGGAAAATGAAATCAACAAGCTGAGTTCAATTTCCGGTCTCGACAGCTACGTTTACTTTCGTACGAATGAATTCGGAAAAAGAATTTATCTATTTCTTCTCTCCCATTCTGTGGGTTAAATAACAGGGTAGACTGAGCCATCTAGTTTTGTGTGGTAGCCAGTCTAGTAAAACGACCTGGATTCAGAGTTTTTATCTTTTTATATGTCGTGTCTTTTCAGGATGTAGATGATCATTGCCCTCCACTTCCCCCTATAACTTGTGACTCTCAACAGGTTTTGTGTTTCTGCCAACTCCCCCACCCCACGCTCTGCCATCCACCTGCCCAAACCTGCCACGTATACCATGCGCTGCTTTCCGTTGTCTCTCTTTCCCTCTATTCGTCCTGTGAGTATCAGATTCTCCAAGCCCTCCTTTCTCATCACGTGTCTCAGAAATTTCATCTGCTTCTTCCTTATATTAAGCATAAGCTTCCTCCTTATTTGCATTCCCTCCAAGACCTCATCGTTGCTCACATAATTCGCAGATAATAAAGAAAGAGAACTTGTGGAGAGCCATAATTCCTTACGTCCTGAATGGATAGGTTATTAAAAACATCTAGAATACATTCTTTCTTTTCATCTTTTTTTTCTTTATTCTCTATCACAACGTCTTATTCTATCTTCCTCACATTTTACAGCCTTTTTTCGCCTCTCCTTTTCACCTGAACCCCTTCCTCTCTTCTTACTCGATTTGCTTCTTCTGAGAAAATCGTTCTGCTGTTCTTACTCAGAAGATGCACTAATGACCGTAAAATGATATCAAGGCGTTGGGTTCAACAACCCGGACATCTGCTAAAAGCGAAAAGAACGTGTTGGAGGTGAAAAGAAGAAAAAAATGACGGTAAAAAAAATATCATTTAAAAAACAAATGTAAAAAAAATAAAAAATAAGCCTTCACATAAAAGAAGTAAAGGAAATTTGATCGGATCGTAAGGAGAAGGTAAGGGGAGATAATCGTGCCGATCATACACAGGCCCGCCTGAGGCGAGCCTTAATTAATTTACGAGAGCAGAGAGCTACTTTATTTACTTCATAATCTAGGACAGCTGCCTAGTGAATGAAGATCGCATACTAAATGCGATACCAGTACAAATGATACTCAGGCAAATACCACGACTGTTATCACTAACACAGCCACAATAACCACAATGACTATTACGACAAATAAATAATAAAACGACTAATAACAATAAATGTATTATTAAGAGCAAATGCTTTTACAATTATTAACTGATGTGATAAAATAAAAACGCTAAATTATTTTTTCTTTCTAACAATTAATATTCGAAGGAAAAAAAATATTTCATTTAGAATCTACCCGACATTAGCGGAATCATGGGACTCTATCAAAATTTTATAATCATAACTCCTGTAGAATTTTTGAAAGTACATTCTTCAAAGCCATCGTTCCAAATTATTAAAACGGCTTTTATCAGAAAGGTATACTATATAAATATTTTTATCTAAGTGATGTATCTCTTCATGTTTTTTTCTTGTTTCCCAGTCAACTGTGAGATCCAAAAATCCCAAAGCAATGTCAGCTGTTATCTTTTTTCTTACGTTTTATGTGCCGTGTCCCTTCAGGACGTAGGCGGTCATGACTCTCCACTTCCCTCTATCTCTTGTAGCTCTCAATAAGTTTCATCCCATTACCACCTCCCTTAGACCACGTTCCGTCATCCACTTACTTAAGCCCGTCATGTATGTCATACGTTGCTTTCCCCTGTCTCTCATTCCCCCCCCATTCGACTTGTAAGTATCAGATTCTCCAGGCACTCCTTTCTCATTATGTGTCCCAAATATTTCATCTGCCTCTTCCTGATGTTAAGTATAAATCCGGTTCTTTTATTGTCTTCCCTTCCGTTTTCTTTTTCTCATTCAGAAACCTCTTACGTCTTAGTGGCTTTATTGTCTTACTTGGGTGGTTTTTAAAAAACTAAACGAACAAAAAGAAGATATAAACAGTAGTGATTTTCCACAGATTTCTTTAATTTTTAAAAATTAAATTTACCCTTTCCAAATCTCTAGAGCAGTGGTTTTCAAACTTTTTGCTGGAGCGGAACCACAAGGTAACATTCCAGTGACTCGAGGAACGAGCAACCCCTGCAATAAAAATTACTGTCAATCATAGCACTTGCGTAACTTCTTGCGGAACCCCTGAGCTTTATTGGCGGAACGCTAGGGTTCCATGGAACCCTGCTTGAAAACCACTGCTCTAGAGCTACTCAGGTGTGAATTGTAATGATGAATATGTTATGTGATGTGAGTAAAGAGAAGTTCAGTAGGAAACACAGATTATGAGGATAAGGAAGACAAATAACTAATAGCACACGACTTAAAGAGTTCAATGTTGTAAAGCTGAGGGAAGCATCCACAAAGGAATATGTCCATACTGTAGCAGTTCTTGGGAAAAGTCTAAGTGAAACTTTCTTCTTACATTTGAAAACACAAATGAAACATGGAAGTGGTATGGCGTCCTCTAGATGCAAATCTCTGAACTGGTGGAATTAAAAAATATACCTCGTCTAAAGATTTGCAATGATAGAGTATCCATACACAGATGATGTTGCGGCCCTGTAAAAGAGGCGACACAAGTGAGAAGACAAAAATTATGGATTAGAAGACATAAGGAATTTTCAATTCGGTTTCTTCTTTAGAAAGACATAGAGAAACATAGGAACAGAACGAAATAACCAGATCGCCAACACAAGTATCAACAAGAGATTCAGGAATTCAGTTTTACACTGCAAAACATATCCAAGTGCGACTGTGAAGGCGATCATCTTTCAGCGATCTGTAAACTTAGAGTGAACCTACAGAAATTGAAGAGGTCTAAGGCAGCAGCCAGATTGAAATACGACAGGCTCTTGGACGACCCGAGTTTGAAGGAGAAATATATGGAGAATATGAAAAGCATATACGATGGAAACATGACAATGAAAACTCGAAGTAAAACACATTAAGAGAAGCTTTAGTAATATCAGCAATCGAGATCATTCCAAAGGAAAAGAGACGAAGAAAAAAAAATGAATAAATGACATGAAATTCTAGGCATGATGGAAAAGAGACAAAAAACAAGGCCAAGACACGGAACAGAATATAGGACACTACACAAAGAAATAAGGAAAAAATACAGACAGGCTAAAAAAAAGAATGACTCAACAAAAAATGTGCAGAAATAGACAGAATGTGATAAAGCAGATATACTTAAAAAATAAGAGAATTAACAGGACAAAAGACATGCTCATCAACAGACTGCATAAGATCCAAAAACGGAACGCTGATATTAGAGAAAGAAAGAATATTTCCAGTGATGGACAAATATATCAGATAACTCTCCTACGACGAAAGGGAACAACTAGCAATAAAATAGAAGTAACGTCGGACCAGAAATATTAAAATCTGAAGTGGAATCTTGACTGGCCATATTCAATAGAAAAACATCGGCAGGGCCAGACGGAATTGAAATAAAGATGCTGGCAGCCTTAGATGATTTGGGCATAGACAAGTTTACAGAAATAAATGAAATCTACAACAATGGTGATATACCGGAATATCTTAGCGGATCTATTTTCGTAGTACTGCCTAAGAAACTAAACGTAAAAAATTGAACTCCACTGGACAACAAGCTTAATGAGCCACATCAAAATACTCATCATCCGAATTCTGATGAAGAGAGCACGCAGTAGAATCAATGATTTTTCGCAAAAGGATGAGCTCAAAATTCAAATCACAACCCAGAGATACCAAAATCAAACAAGTACAAAAATTTAAATATCTGGGAAGTGTTTTAAGAGATGATGAAAAATGTGACACGAAAATCCGAAGGCGTATTGGGATCGCCAAAGATGCCTTCCAAAAGTTAAGCAGAGAAACAGAAAATCTTCGTTAGAAACAAAGAAAAGAGTACTGAACTGTTATGTGATATCAGTCCTCCTATAGGGTAGTGAATGCTGGACAATCTCCTCAAAGATGTAGACTGAACTTGAGGAAACAGAAATGTGGCTCTACAGAAGGATATCATGAGCCGAACATGTGAGCAACGATGAAGTTTTAGAAATGGAAACAAAAAGGTAACTTACATTTAACATCAGGAAGGAAAAGTTGAATTTTCTAGAGCACATAAGGAAAAGGAGGGCTTCCAAAATCTGCCACTCACAGAACAGATTGGTGGCAAGAGAGATAGAGAAAAACAGCACATAACATACTTAGTAAGCTTGAGTAAATTGGTGGGACAGGGTTTAGGAGAAATAACAAAAAAATATTTATTAAGATCTACAAAGAAGTGGAATTTGCGGAGAGCCATGTTCGCCTACGTCCTGAGTGAACACAGCACATTACAGAAAATTTAAAAAGAAAGAAACTAATAAGAAATCAAATTAAAGCATATTTTTATTTGATATTTTTATTCAATAGCTGAATAATGTAACTCTCTCAAATATACCTTAAACTAGATTAAATTATTTAAATTACTGGTATAAATTTTTCCACGCCATGTAGAAGAACATAAAATGGAATGACTCTACCTTGAAGAAAATATGATGGAATTATTGTGTAGTTTTCGTTCTTAAAACAAACTTTAGCATGCAGTTGGCCATAACTAATTGACAGTAAACATGGCGTCAACTAGAGGGCTGTCAATTGAATCAATTGAAAAGATTTTGTAACTCATTCAAGAAGGTAATCCACAGTGGAGAAAGTGTGACAAACGACGTTGATTGTTTCCAGTCAGTCGTGTGTAAAATTGGGTGCAGCTATAAAATACATTGGATGGCTAAAAAGGAAAACATACCCGTTGGTCATGAAAGGTTAAAAAAAAAAACATCAGGATACAAAAGTCAACGCATCATAACTTCGCAGTAAAAAATAAGCAACAAAACAAATGAATCGAAGCAGTAAACAATGTTTATGACAAAATTGTAAGGAATCGGCCGAATGAAATGGGATTTACATCCAGAAATGTCAAACGAAAAAAAAGGAAATGAGATTGAAATGGCGTGTGGACGATTGAATGAAAAATTGTATCCAGTAATGAGTCAATAATCTGCGTTGGCCAAGGCGTTGATTCTGGAACTTTTGCCTGGTGCAGTTCGAATGAAACATTTAAAGATGACTGCCTTAATAAATGAATTAAATTAAACCAGTTAATGATATGGGGAATCAAATGTCATTAAAAGAGAAGACGAGACAGTGTTCTTTATAATTGTAAATTTGTACAGTGTAACCCGGATATAAGAGACCCGGATATAAGAGAAACCCTGATATAAGAGAGATTTTCTCTGGTCCCAAATTAGAGCCTGTGTTAATGTATATAAAATAGACTAAACCCGGATATAAGAGAAACCCGGATATAAGAGACTTCTTCTCCGGTCCCGACAACTCTCTTATATCCGGGTTACACTGTACATTGAAATCAGGTATAATTTTCTCATCCTATCGATAGACAATTGGTTTGAAAATGATAAAATCATTTTCAGGATGATAATGAATTTTGTCACTGAGATAAGGGTTGTTTTTCAGGAAGGGTATATAAAATCAATGACATGTCCAGTGAAAATTTCGGTTCTAAATACAAATGAAAATTTATGCTATTTTTTAAATCGTCAATGAAAAGGTTCCACCTACCAAGGAGGATATATTAGCCGCCATTTTGAAAAGGTAGAATTACTTTGGTAAATATTGTTACTTTAAATTAGCGAATGCTATGCCTGAAAGGATTACGACTGTCATTAAAACTTGGGAGGAGCAATTACGTATTAATTCTAATTTTTACGTCGATGAATATATATATATATATATATATAATTACTGGTCCAAACATACCACAGTATTCGTTACAAGAAAATAACTCATTTGTCTATATTTCTGAGATGAGGTATTATGTACACAATTTGCATTATTTGAACTACTTTCCTAATCTTTGTCGCCATATTTATTACAAAGTTTCAGCCGTTCTACGCCCCGGCCTTCTTCAGGTGGCTGGAATGTCGAACTAAACCCTTTATTTCACTTACTGTGGTAGACTGTTCTAGTTCCACGTGCCATGTCTAATGGATATCAGTTGTCAGTAATCTCCTGTTAATTCCCCTCTCCAAGTTCTCAAGGACACATGACACAGTGGATAAAGGCGTTAGTTAGATCCAGTGACAGGACCCAAAGAGTGTGAGTTCAATACCCGGTTAAGGCAGTGGAGAACTTGGAGAGGGAAAATTAACAGGTGATAACTGATAACTGACACCAATTAAACATGGTACGTGGAACTAGAACAGTCTGCCCCAGTGAGTGAAATAAAGGGTTCAGTTCGACATTCCAACCACCTGAAGAAGGCCGGAGCGTACAACGGCCGAAATGTTGTAATAAATATGGCGACAAAGATGAAGACAATAGTCCGAATAATGTAAATAGTGTAAAATAACACATTCTTATTTACCATTCTTTCTACAGCCATCCTAATACCTCGAAGTCTCTTTGAAGTCCTAAGTCGTTCTCATATGTACAACTTGTCTGTGGTGTGTGCGGAATAAAAATAACAACATTTAAAAATGAAACGCCATGGAATATTTCCAAAGTGGAACGCTCATCAGAACAATTACATGAAAGTATTTATATAAAAGGCAGTAGGAAAATGGCGTCAAAGTCAAAGGTTGTTTTTTGTTTTTTTAAATAACAGTTAACTTCAAAGGGCAGGGTTTTCCTTGCAGGGCATTTTCTTTTTATATAGCAATAAAAAATACTTCATGGCAACTGTGAGCTAAAAATGTAACAAGCACAAACATATGTTAAAAAAACACCATCGTTCAAGCAAAAAATCAAGTTGTATTACGATTAACTTCTCTTTCGAACTAACATCTTCTTTTCAAATCAAGTCACTACTGTGTTCTGTAACTCTGACCAAATCGAACAATCTACATTACGTCGGTGAGAAAGTAATTAAATTTTCCACGCAATTTTTACCGACTATTACTGTTTTAGTCAGTTCAGTACGAACAGGTTACTTTATCTGTTTGTTCTTTTTAGTAAAAACACATTCATGTTTCTATGGATTCTGTTAACCTCGGTCCAGTCCATATTTATTTCCGGCTTTCTTTTGAACACACTCTTCCACTTGAAGTCGCCATCTTATCCAACAAACTTTTGTCACGGGATGGTAACATTGCTTTTTTTTTCCTTTATCCGAAATCAACACCGTGATTGCAAAAACGGACATCAACACAAAATCTTGATTTCATAAGAGCCTTCACCACAACAACCTGGGAGTAGATTACTGTTTAATGGTCCGTTTCGAAAATTTTGCTTTTTACGAGTCACTCTCGGAAAATTATAGCTCGAGGTAAATTATGACCGATTTTATCAACAGCCAATCAGCAGTCTCCAGCGATGCCTGTCGATGATTACCGATGACGTCAAAGATCTAAACAGCCAATCGCCGCTATCTGATTACCGCCGATTAACTTTGAATCGACGGCCATTGAACGGACGCAGACGACTCGAGGCTGATCGAGAAAAAAAAAGCAAATTAATATAAAGTGGTCATTTTCAAAACTGGGCAACATTCCCTTGACTCCAGTAGGTTGGTCATAAAACGTGAAATTATACTTTTTTTTTTCTTTTCGGCTATCAGATTCGTTATCTCAATTTTATGCTCTCATATAAGTATTATTTATGCTTAAATCTAAACCACGTCGAGCACATATCACTTAGGTTTGGCTTAATATCTTTATGAGGGATATAGCTAAAAATAAAAATTATATATCTACTTATCTGTAACATACTACTCTGTCTCTGTCTTTCTCTATGTGTGTGCATATGTATATTTTTGCGTATGACTTAATAAATATATGTGTATGTTATTTTTACAACAAAACCTACAAGAATATAAATACAAAATGATAGATAGATAGATATGAACAGATTGCAATAGATAGATAGATAGATAGATAGATAGATAGATAGATAGATACGAAATTATCGACTGCTACATGTGCTGAGTTATAATTTCAAGGTGTTTTAACAAAAGACGGAAAATATTACACCGAAATTAGTATTTCTTCTTCTAAGTGACATGTCCGTTCAGGCCGTTGGCGATCATGGTTCACCACAATGTCCTATCTCTTGTCTTTTTGCCATCTCTCTGTTCTGCCATCCATTCACTCAAGCACGCCAGTTAGGTTGTATGTTTCTTTTGTCTCTCTTAACTTCCTTCTGTCCTGTGAGTAGCAAATTTTCTAAGCCCTCTTTCCTCATTATGTCTCCCAGAAATCTCAACTAGCTGTTCCTCATGTTATGTGTGACTGTTATTTTTGTTGCCATTGTCTCTGGAACTACGTCTTTGCTCACATATTCGTCCTTCGTATTCTGAGCATCCTTCTGTACGTATTCTGAGCATCCTTCTGTAGAACCATATTTCTGTTACTTCAACTCTCATCTCCATCTATAAAGCGATTGTCTAGCATTCACTGTCATATTGATTTTCTAATCGTAGCTTAGATGTGGCACAAGGCCGAAATTATGGGACACCCAGTGAGGATCGAACTCACTACTCAGTCGTAATTGTTCTCGCAAGACAAGCTTGCTAACCATTACTCCGCCTCGGGGTGCCCAAAGCATTCACTGTCATATAGGAGGACTGATACTACATAAGTTCAGTACTCTTTTCTTTGTTACTAATTATATTTTTCTATTTCTTAATACTTAGCTTAGTTCTTGGAAGGCATCTTTCGCTATGCGTCTTCGGATTTTGATGTTGCACATTCCAATCGTTGTTAATCCGTTTCCCAGATATTTAAATTGTGAACCTGTTTGATTTTGGTATCTCCAATCTGTAATTTGCCTGTTGGGCTGTCCCTTTTGCTAACAACCATATAGTCTGTTATCTTGTTATTGATATGTTGTCGCTTCATCTCGCTTTCCTTCACTCCTTTCTGTTGGAGTTCTTGTAGTACTTTGTGTCTGCTATCAACAGTTTGTAATCTGCATATCTTCTTTTGTTAAGATTGTGGTAGCCAATAATGTAATCCGTTATTCAGTGGAATAGCAAATGTGCCTTCCCAAAAATAAACGAAGTATTAAGAGAACCAGAAAATTTAGTTTGGAATAATAAAAAAAAATGAGTGCTGAATTTCTGTGTAATATCAATCCCTTTATATACTGAATGCTGGAAGAGTTCTTCAAATAAAAGGAAACTTGAAACAGCAGAGATGTGGTTCTAGAGAAGTATGGTGATTATACCACAGGTAAACCGTATAAGCAACAAGGAATTTTTAAGGAAAAGAAAAAAAGAACTCTTACGTTTAGAAAAATATATTTGAAATTACTATGACACATTCTGAGAAAAGAATGTTAGAAAGTCGTCACCCACACGATCTATTGAAGGAAAGAGGGGATGGAGGAAACAAACAGCTTCTTTAAACGAATGACAGAGCAATGACTATGGTGGATGGTAAAAGCTAAGAGCTGCATAGGATAGTATCTTGTGGAGAGCCATGATTGCCCATGTCCTGAAGTGATACAGTAACTAAGAAAGAAGATATTTTCGAAAAAATCTGTAACAAGTACTTTAAGATTAGTAAGTTTCAGCCAAACAGAATAGAAAAGGTGGATATTAGCGGCGACAACAGTCTTCTTTCAACAAAGCAACAAATTCAACTAGCCAGCAAATAAAAGATATAATACAAATAGAAATGGAAAACGTACCTGGATTCCTCATTAGCGGCCACAATGTTAACAACATGAGATACACAGATGACACAGTGCTGATAGCAGACACTGAAAAGAAATTACAAAACATCCTACAGAAGTTTGCGAAGGAAAGCGAGAAGAAATGACTATGAATAAACCACCAAAAAACATGGTCATTAGTAAAAGGATGAGCCCAAAATATCACCGTCCTGGGTATGACGATAAACTACATCCATGTCCTGGGTATGACGATAAACTACATCCGCGTCCTGGGTAAGACGATAAACTACATCCGTGTCCTGGGTAAGACGATAAACTACATCCATGTCCTGGGTAAGACAATAAAATACATCCGTGTCCTGGGTAAGACGATAATCTACATCCGTGTCCTGGGTAAGACGATAAACTACATCCGCGTCCTGGGTAATACAATAAACTACATCCGCGTCCAGGGTAAGAGGATAAACTACATCCAACAGCAAGGCCTCTGATCAGGTGGTTTTGAGGAGCGTGGAACCACCTCTAAATTGCTGGTTTTCCCAGGTCCACCCTGACCCGTGGTGGTAGCACCTGTTAGGGTCCCAGCTATGGGTAAATAGTTAACCCCCAAACTAGGATCAAAACACTATGAAAGTGTAAAAATAGGTTTTAATACCAGAAAAACTTTGTAAAAAAATTATCACCAGAAATAAATTTTGAAATTTTTGAAGAAAAATTCTTACCAGCAATACATTTTTTTTAAAATTACTAGTAATACATTTTTGAAAGAAATATTTAAAAAATCTTGTCGGCATTGAATAATCCATTAAGGTTGATATGCCGTAAAACTAAACAAACCAAACCAAGTGCGGAAACTTAAATATCTGGGAAGTGTTCTGACAGAGGACGGTAAGTGTGAGACTGAAATCCGAAGACGTGTTGGGATGGCCAAAGACGCATTCCAAAAGCTAGTCAGAGTATTAAGACACAAGAGGATTTCTTTGGTAACAAAGAATATAGTACCGAACTGCTACGTGATATCTGTCCTCGTTTACGGCAGCGAATGCTGGACAGTCTCCTCAAAGGTGAGGAAGAAACTCAAGGCAACGGAAGTGTGGTTCTACAGAGGGACGCTAGGGACATCATGGACCGGGTGTGTGAGCAACGATGAGATTTTGGAGAGAATAAAAACAAGGAAGAAGCTTATACTTAACATTAGGAAGAGGCAGCTGAAATTTGTAGGACACATAATGAGAAAGAAAGGCTTGGAGAACATGATACTTACAGTGCGAATAGAGGCAAAAAGAGACAAGGGAAACCAACGCGTGACATACCTATCCGGCTTAAGCAAGTGCATGACAGAACAGGGTATGGGTGAAGAAGCATGGGAAAAAATTATTGAGAGCTACAAGGGATATGGTGGAAGTGGAGAGCAATAATCGCCTACATCTTTAAGGGACATAAAAGAAGAAGACTGAAATGTATTTGGGCCGATCAAGAAAGATTCTGACATTTACTCATTTGATTCTATTTTGGAGGTAGATCCAACTGAGAATTTTTCGCCACCCCTAATTTATATATATATATATATATATATATATATATATATATATATATATATATATATATATATATATATATATATATTCATTTTCTGTAGACTATTTACATTGTTCGGACTATCATCATAATCTTTGTTGCCATATTTATCACAACGTTTCGGCCGTTGTACCTCCGGTCTTCTTCAGGTGGTTGGGATGTCGAATAGTTAGTTCATTTTCTGTCTTACTTATTTTTAGTGGATAAACATGTTTAAGTAGAGGCTCCGTTTATTTTTTTAAACATTATTTATTTTCAAATAACGACCTGAATATTCTAGTAATCCCTTTCTCATGAAAAAGGGGAACGTAGGTTCGAATCCTAATGGGGGTGGGTAACATTTTTACTTTTATAAAATTTATCGAATATTCAGGGCGGTATACGAAAATAAATATTGTTTAAAAATAAACGTACCCACTAGTTAAATGTGGCTATAGACAAAAATATCATTTTAAGCAATAAACAGATGTCGGCTTAATACATAAAAATCTATTACTTCTTTAGAAATAGACACACATACACGCAGATATATATATATATATATATATATATATATATATATATATATATATATATATATATATATATATATATATATACAAATGAGGGAAAGAAAAATGAAGTAAAAATTCCGCTGTTCGTAGCATTAACTTTTTAAAAAAGAGTGCTCAATACAAATTAGAGCAATAATATATATATATATATATATATATATATATATATATATATATATATATATTATTTAATTTTAGATATTCGGGTAACGCATGTTGAAATCGCTACACAATAGCTTTCGTGTTTCGGTATTACGTTGTACCTCTTCAGGCGAGTAGTAAGTTACTTACCATTCGCCTGAAAAAATAACGTAATACTGAAACCCATTAAGCTATTGTAGCGATTTCAACATGCGTTTCTTTTCTAATATCTAATATCTAAAATAAAATTATATATATATATATATATATATATATATAGATAGATAGATAGATAGATAGATAGATAGAGAGAGAGAGAGGAGAGAGATAGAGAGAAATATGGCAAACTGGAAAAATTCTTGTGACGCGTTTCATCTGTTAGAATTTTCTAGTTTTTCATATTTTTCTAAATATTATTTGTTGATATATAAAATTATACAAAAATGATATATCTTTATATCATATATGTATATATGTGTGTGTGTTTGCGTGTGCGTGCGCGCGCGTGTGTGTGTGTGTGTGTGCGTGTGTGTGTGTATGTATTTATAGTTTATCTTAGTCCCAGTAACGATTA